ATATTATCCTAGTCTACTACTATCCTGGACGTACAGCACTCCTCCTAGGATCACTATATTATCCTTGTCTACTACTATCCTGGACGTACAGCACTCCTCCTCTGATCACTACATCCTAGTCCTCTACTATCCTGGACGTACAGCACTCTCCTCTGATCACTATATTATCCTAGTCTACTACTATCCTGGATGTACAGCACTCCTCCTCTGCTAACTATATTATCCTAGTCTACTACTATCCTGGATGTACAGCACTCCTCCTCTGATCACTATATTATCCTAGTCTACTACTATCCTGGATGTACAGCACTCCTCCTCAGATCACTATATTATCCTAGTCTACTACTATCCTGGACATACAGCACTCCTCCTCAGATCACTATATTATCCTAGTCTACTACTATCCTGGATGTACAGCACTCCTCCTCTGATCACTATTATCCTTGTCTACTACTATCCTGGACGTACAGCACTCCTCCTCTGATCACTATATTATCCTAGTCTACTACTATCCTGGATGTACAGCACTCCTCCTCTGATCACTATATTATTCTAGTCTACTACTATCTTGGATGTACAGCACTCCTCCTCTGCTCACTATATTATCCTTGTCTACTACTATCCTGGACGTACAGCACTCCTCCTCTGATCACTATATTATCCTAGTCTACTACTATCCTGGATGTACAGCACTCCTCCTCTGATCACTATATTATCCTTGTCTACTACTATCCTGGATGTACAGCACTCCTATGATCACTATATTATCCTTGTCTACTACTATCCTGGACGTACAGCACTCCTCCTCTGATCACTATATTATCCTAGTCTACTACTATCCTGGACGTACAGCACTCCTCCTCTGATCACTATATTATCCTAGCCTACTACTATCCTGGATGTACAGCACTCCTCCTCTGATCACTATATTATTCTAGTCTACTACTATCCTGGATGTACAGCACTCCTCCTCTGATCACTATATTATCCTAGTCTACTACTATCCTGGACGTACAGCACTCCTCCTCAATCACTATATTATCCTTGTCTATTACTATCCTGGACATACAGCACTCCTCCTCTGATCACTATATTATCCTAGTCTACTACTATCCTGGACGTACAGCACTCCTCCTCAGATCACTATATTATCCTTGTCTACTACTATCCTGGACATACAGCACTCCTCCTCTGATCATTATATTATCCTTGTCTACTACTATCCTGGACGTACAGCACTCCTCCTCTGATCACTATATTATCCTAGTCTACTACTATCCTGGACGTACAACACTCTTCTCTGATCACTATACTAGCCTAGTCTACTACTATCCTGGACGTAGAGCACTCCTGCTTGTGACCTTGAACATACAACATTGGTGGTTGTATTATCACTGTTTAAGTGAATTATGGGTTATCAAACTGGGGATAGCCATAATGGTTTTTTTTTTCACATGCATTGATAGGGCTGTTTTATTGTTTTTTTTTATTTTTGTAAATGTTATTACTTTACATTCTTTGACATGCACAACTGCAAATACTTGAAAGTTAAATAAAATATTCATGTTTGGTGTATTGGTATGCTGTATTTGTCTAAATAATGAAAAGTTTCCACATTTGTGTGCTTTGCAGATTTAATCTTTTCTCCAGTTACCTACTGGGAATTCTACACTCCCATTAAATAATCAGTTTTATATTAGAGAGTGGATCACACTTTATACAAACAATTTGTATGCACTAATTTATACGTGTACTACCACAGATGCAAGCTGTAATTCCACAGGTAAGGTGTTTAGCACCTATATAAACTTGGTTCATGTCAAGTTCTTAATCACTCAACAGTGCAATGCCACCATGGATAAACTTATGACTAGAGCATTATGTCACAGCCCTTTCTGAGAAAGAATATTTGTACAAGTTATTAAATTATGTAGAACCAAAGGACACCAAATTTTCAATGTTCTCAATGGAAGCAGAAAACTCTTGTAGCACATTTAGGACCATTAAAGGCTACTAAGCCAATCCAGAACACTGTTCTCATTTGCAGAAAATCACACTAGGGAGACTTGTTATTCAGTGCGATCTATTTCATGTTAAGCCTTATAAAAACAAAGGATAACAAAAGGGTTAACGTTAGAATTACAAGAAAGATTCCTACCTATCCATCTGGCTTTTTAACTAAACTTTTCTGAATTATTCATGCTACAAATTCCTTGTGGGTTACTGTTTTTTCCTTTCTGCTTACAAGATGTCTAATAACATGATTCAGAATAAAACTACGAGGCATCAATACTACAATGAATCCCATTATGAGTGATCTTACCCAATTTTTCACAACATCACAAATATGTGAATCCACCTGTAATGAACTGTGATTTTACACAGTTTTTACAATATCACAATATTTTGACCAAGCTGTAGCAAACTCTACCTAAACAAGTTAATAATTTGAGGGTTAAACATTCTTGCAATAAAAAAATATAAAGATAGGCATATTAACAAGAGCTACATCACACAACATGCTCCACTAGGTAATATTCTGTTTCAGACCAAGCTGGACTGGTTACTGTTAATCTTTTGAAACTATAGTAAACAGTGGGTTAATGTACGAGTTTTTATATCCAATATGAGCTTTTCGTTATTACACACACACACAACAAAAAAAAATTGGCCTTTTATTCAAGGTTCTAGGAGCTTATACAACTTTTTTTAGAACTGTCTTTAAAAAATACTCACCCTTTGATAGTTCTGTTCTTTATTAATCTGTTCAACCTGATCAAGTAACTGCCGAACTCTTAACTGCAACTCAGTTAATTTTTCTTTTTGTGCAACATTTCCATAATCCACAGCATGTTCACCAACTTGAATGTCAAGATGGACTCTCTACAGAATATGAAAGTACAGTTTCATTATTTAACTCCTTTACCACTGTAACTGTTCTTTGTTAAAATTAAACAGAGAGGATTTGATCAAGTGAAACAAGGAACCAATTAGTTGGTTATTCTGTTAACAGGAAAACTGACATAGGGTAAGCAAGAAACATGGTTCTAGTTCAGCTGGACTTCTGAAGCTCACTCAAATAAAAAAACACGTAAAGACAAAGAAAGTTACATTTTAAAGAAAGAAAAATATTCACAGGAACATTAGAGTAAAAACAAAATGCTGCTATAAAGATGGGAAATATACATATAAAATAAGTCACACATTATGTTTTGATACATCTTTGTATCATCTTATGTTGTTAAAGAACAATTTTTAACTTTCAGTTTTTTTGTTGTTTCTAAACATTAAAAAAACATCCATAAGTGGCATAACAAATGATATAACAATCTTTAATTCAACTTGTAGTCTGCTCCCACAGTTTCTCATGCTTTTTTGCATTAATGAAAACTAGAAGTCTCCATCAGATGCAGCAAATAACTCGTTTGTACCAGAAATGTGATAAAACTTAATTTCAGTAAAACCTTGCTTGATCAGATAAATTATCACAATCCTTTGTCCTAACCTTGACTAACATTATTTTTTATTGTTTCTATACAAGTTGCTAAATAACTACAATGCTGAGTTCAAACTGGTTTTTTATAAATGTTAAGTAGATAAGTCTGTTATATTTTATATTAAAACCAAATTTCTAAGTTTTAGCTCTTAAATTTCTGTCATTCATGCATCTGTTTCACCTGCAAAGTCAAACAAAATATTTTTTTTTACCATTTTTAAACATTCTTGTCAAGTTTGACCTTAGCTGTTTTTCAATCTCTACTTATTGAAAAAACTTGGATTGGTTTTATAACTGTTTCTCAACCTCTAGCTTTAGTGAGAGTTTGGATTAGTTTCTCATCCCCTAAGATACAAATGTATTATAGCTTCTCTTTATAGTAGGCTTATAAGAGAGTCATTGGAAAATTGGCCAGGAGGTTGGGGGCTCTCAAACTTACCACTTCCTTCTATGCCCTCCCCCACAATATTGTAAGAAAATACTCGTAGTACTTTTTGCCTTGATTTCTTAATTTTGACTGTAAATAAGGTCAAGTATTCAAATGATACAAAATAAAATTATGGTATCTAACTAGAATATTTAATGATGCTATCACCTCACCTTTACTGACTTGAAACATCAGTTACATCTAAATTTAGTGGATTGGTGTAGTAAGCCAAGAATAATGTAAAATTTGTTTAAATATGGTTGTCACAACTTTGAATGTGGTCAGTTTTATTTCAAATACTGATAAAAGTTTTAAATGAGTTAATTAGTTATACCAGGTAGTTTTCTGCTTGGTTAGGCAGTTCGGGGTTTCACTACATGACAGCAACTTGATTCTACCAGAGCATAAATTGAGCAAGATTAATTTGAAATGAATGTACATTTTTATATTTCCTTAAATTAAATAAATACAAGCACGTTATAGGCCTGCTGCAGTGACTTGTTTTGTTATAAAGGAAGATATTCCAAAGTAACCCATTAACAGACTTTTTTCTTTTTACACTAGTAATTTCATATAAATAATGAGATGAAATAGACAATTTAAGGTACACATATTTCTCATGTTTAACATTAATTTCAATAACAAGTTATCATTACAGTATTTTGTCTACAAATATAATGCTAATTCTGCTGTTACAAGTACAAAGCTAGTGTTCTTGGTTCTACTATACAATATTGTGGCTGTATGTGTGTGTGAAGAAGTATGTTGTGCTAACCTAAAGAGGTTAACAAGCTCAGACTTGATCATGCAGCTACCTCCTCCAATGTCTGATCTCAACTGTTTGTACCGATCTCACAGATAACCCAGATGAAGATGTCATTAGTGTAAATCAGCAAATTCACAAATTTTTGACATTACTGAATCAGATAAAGAGTCCATAAAATCTGTTCAAGCTATCAATCCTGCAACAAATAACTTGTTGAATGAGAGAAAAAAGGCTTTACTGATTAACTACTACAGAGAATCTCTACTTTCTTAAGAGATAACATGAAAAAAATTCTAAAAGTACCACTGCTGAGGCCCAATAGACAGTTTTCAGATAAAGCTAATCTTGAAACTTTTCAACTGATTCTAGCATTCATATCAGTCTCTTTTTAAGTCCTCTTCTGACTTAAAAAAAAAATATTCTTTATATCTAAAGAATGTAAACATCTTTTTTCATGGATTGTTTATATATGTGGTAGCATTCAGGATACTCTTTCTTTCAGACATGAGAATCACTTAATAGAAGAAATAGCTTTCAGACCTAATGAAAAACTAACAAAAAAAGTCCATTCACACTTGAGAAAATAAAATAAACACATTTACCTTGATAGTTATATTATACTTATGTATTATTTTTGGAATAATTAATATTCTTAGAACATCTAAAGCAACCATAGTTGAAAGCACTTTTAGTTTAGTTTTTGGCTCTTATTCTGCTAATGGAATACACGTATGTATGTATGTATGCCTGGTTTGATATATAAAAAGTAAATACACAAGCTGTATTCATTCAAAACAAAAGAACAAAAAGCGAATGCTTTATAAACTTACCAGCTGTGATCCGCTGAACCATTTGGTGGAGTTGGAGTAGAGACAAATTACATGTTCACCTGGAGAACTAGACGTGAAAGTAAATCGGCCCTCGCTACTGTATACACGAGACAAAATCACCTTGTCACTTGGATCTCTGACTTCAACATACATACCTATTCCTGGACTTGAAGGCATGAACCCCCCAGTTTTGGGATCAAAAAGCTGGCACTTATAATTTCCTACAAATAAAGAAATTAGAATTACTTTATTTTTTGACAAGCTACAAAAATGTTTCTACTTTTTTTTCACAGATTCATACACTCCTATATTTCATCATACCAGGTGAAACAGAATACCCACCATTTCATTGCGAACTCCATGATGGTGCTCTAATGTGTGCACAACTAGTCATATTTATTTACGGTATTGTTTCAGTAATTTGTAGTTTGATGGTTTATATGCAACTATACAACTATGCAATCAACTCCGATTGCCTAATTTGCAGGCATCTTCTTCACTGTAAAATCTTAAGTCTAGAGTTGGCAATCAGTGGTATTTGCTAATCAATTATTACTGTGTTCCTCAAACTATGAAAAAAAAGGTTGGTGGCAGGTGCTGCTAGCCAGTTATCTTCCTTATAATCAGCATTTCGAGAAGAAAAACAAACAAATAAACAAACCCACTTGGTGGTGGGTGCTGTCAGCCAATTGCCTTGTTTCTAGTCAGCAGTTTAAAATTAATGATAGCCTTAGTAGTTTTACCATAATAAAGGCAGGTTAAGCAAGTTTGGTGGCAATGAAAATTGTATCAAAGATCTTCCAATCACAATACTCCTGCTGAATCATCAAAGCTAAACAAACTTAAGACTAAAATTGGACATAACATAGATGGCTCATATTGTAGCTTTGAACTTAAGAGCAAACAAACATAATAGTAATATTCTGATTACTCGGAAAGTGGAATAACTGAAAATAATAGTGATTGAAAAACCATACCTTTAATTACATTATTATTTTTGTGACAATTTATTTAATCATAATTTTGATTACTTCATTGTTGGAATAATGGGCAACACTAATTTTAATTTTCAAATTAATCAATATAATCAGAATTTTAGGGAACTGAAAACACTAATTTCACAATTTTGATCAATCAATGTAACTGCTGCTTGTAGTCAATCAATTAAATCACCCAGCTCTAATCCTACCACTCTAAACATGACAAAAGATGATAAAATCTTATCTATTAACCCCTTAATAACCCTTATCTTCTCTGGAAAAAACAATTTCAGAGATCTTAATCTGGTTTCGTATTACAACCTTTCAATTCAAGATATCATTGTAAATGCCCTCAAATGTGTAAACACAAGACTAAACATAATTCTCCAAATAAGATCTAACCAATTAAATTATAGCTCCTTTAGACTTATATTCAATATTTCTGTAGATAGAATCCAAAATTGTTCTTGCTTTCCGACTAGTACCAAGACACTACGTGGAACTTGAAAGGCTAAAAGAATAACCAACCAAAATGTCAAGATCCTTTTTTACTCCATATTATTCATTTACTTCATTTATATGGTAACTATAGTTTAAATTAAGAGAGCCCACATGCATTACCTCACACTTAGCATAATTAAAGGTCAGCTGTCAATGACCCAATCCCTTTGTAAAATAACAGCATCTTCCTCACAGTCAGCTATACCCAAAATTTTAATATCATCAGTAAACTTGATTAACTTGTTTACAATTCCCTTATCAATATCATTAACGTATAGCAACAATTCAGTATAGGAAGTGAAAGGAAGCAGCTCTGACAATAAACCCAAGGCTGTAGACCTGAAACTGTTGGTTGACCCTAAATCACAAGGTGAATTTCATTTTGATAGCTAGCTTCAATGGTTAGATAGAGCATATTAAGAGCCAGTAGTGAAGTTCACAGCTCTGAGTGAAAGAAAATTTGAATAAATTCCTCCTCCCGACTGATAATTCAGGATATTTGGCCACAATCCTTATGTTTCATACAAGTTAAAACATTCTATCAAACATTCCATGTCTAACATTATTATTAATAATAATCTAATCCCACTAATTAGCAACAAGAAGCATTAAAACATTAATTTTAATGAAAATAATGTCAACAGTATGAGAGGGAAGTAGCTTTAACACAATCAATTTTACTGAAAAATATCATTCTTTTCGCTAATTACTAAGTTATTGAGAACATCGCAAGAATGTGTGTCGTACATTCTTGCATGATCTGGTCACCAAATTTGGAGTCAAATGCAACTTGCAAGATTTTTTTTTAAAACTAGGTCTACACGGACTTGCAAAATAACTGATTATTTTATCTTAGTACATCTGGCAAAGATAAAAATAAGCTTATTACCAGAAAAGGCCTATGACAATTCCAGACACTATCTTAGTTTAAAATCTAGCTAATAATGATAATTAATATAAATTATAATGACATACCAACAACAAGAGTATCATCAGGAATTTCCTCAATAAAACATTTTCTTTCTGTTTCAGCGATATGAAAGTAAAGACCATTTGAAGTTGATACAAGCGTAATGAACAAAATTAAGCTACATTTCAAGCTGAAATTAAGCCACGATGCCGAAAACATCTTAAAAATCCTTGTATGATGTTTAAACTTAAGTAAAGTGTAAAGTATGTACAGTATAGTTAGTTATGCCACGTTCATTATAACAGAGACATCTAGTAGTAGATAAATAAGTTACACATTTAGGAATAATAATTTAATACGAGTTAATAATAGGTAATTAAATCAAACTTTCAACTTAAGCGAATGCAGTATAGCTCTTTATATATTAGAGTATGTTTGTATAAATTATTCAACGTTGTTTCACTTTATTGATAAGCAATGTTTTTATGTGTTTCAACAAGAGGTTTTATAATGTACTGTTACGCCTCCAGTCGTTAGTTAATTTTTCGTAAATTCGTTCTGACGAAACTTTAGCGCCACAAGGCCTTTCTTAAATAAAACTGGTTTATTCTTTACGAATACAACTTTACGATACACTTAATTTCAACAGTCGCTCTATAACAACACTATAATTCACGTCTCACGTGGCCAACAATATTTTGTCCGCATACATTCAATTACTCATTACCTACACATTATCCCGTCACGTTGTGACCATCTTATATATACCAGCCTACCCCCAATCTAGTAAATGCTGGGGCATTCCTGAAGGAACAGGATATTTCTAGAAAACGGGTGGCGTGATACTAGTCACGTGACCTCGCTGACGCAACACTGCCCCCTCCTTAGTATTGTTCGTCCCGAACAATAGCCACTTACAATAAACCAATAACAATAACTTAATTAAATGTACAGAATTACAAACACAAAATTACAATTCAACAAAATCTCTTAATTTTACGCGACATATCATCCTCCGTACTGGTCTCCGTCTCGTTGGCTTCTGCTTCATATGG